GCACTACAATGTCTGCGGCCGTATATACTTTAACGACATCTTTGACAGGCTTAATTGATGTCTGATACATTCCTAGAGGCGACATTTTTTATACCAAGTCATTAAATAACAGACAAGATACACAGGAGACAGGCTTGATTATAATGAATTCAAATTGGTTGGGTTATATCTGCAGTTTCTATAGTTTTCTTGAAGAACTTATGGGGATAATGAATTGATCTATAACTTGGTCAGAGATCTGAGTTAATTGTATATTGAAATTTCCAGATCTCTTACATAAATACTTAGTTACCATTAAGCATTATGTGACCTTTCATTTGTGAATATTTTAAGTAAATATTTTTAATCCGATCCCTTATTCCCTTAACTTCTTTATTTAACTCATTTATAAAGACGAGTTGAATAATCAAAATAATTTACAAATTCCCAAGCCTCACCAGTATCGTCTTATACTACTAGGTACTTTTGACAAGCCTTCAGCTCTCGAAGATATTCTCAAGCCCGCTAAATAATTTTCTGTTCATTTATCATAATTATTAGTCCTACGAATAAAGACACACTAAATTAGTGCCCAATATCAAGAGATTCAAAACGATAAATAAAGCATGAGAATTAATAATCTCGAAAATTTTGGAATTATGAGTTGAGCACACTCAAAGTTTCATTTTTCTTGAATTTACAAATAAAATATCCAATCTTCTATAAAATTATTTACGTCGTTCTTCTAGCTAATTTCAAAATTTAACCGCATGCATTTTAAATAATTGAAGGCGTGACATGAATCCGTCTAAACATATCAAGATGTCACATATGATGAAATGCATTAATTTGCAAACGAATAGCACAAATTTATAAAATAACGAATAGAACCTCGATTTCACGAGAAGTTTATGCGGTAATATTGATATATTTATTTAAGGTATTAAATTTACTTATGAACTACTGCGATAAATCTTCTGAAATTACGGTCACAGAAGGTAACACATCGCGCAACGGCACAACCACACACTCCGACATCCACTGAGCAACTAACCGCCTAGCGCTACGCGACCTGCAGGCTGCAGCCAGTGCCCAGCAGGGCAGCAGCCCTGTCAGTCTTCATCGTCCCAACCCCGGGTGTCGTGAATAGCAAATGCTGAAATATCAGTGGCATAATCGGCTCTAGGCGGGTAAATTGAGAAGAATCTGTAGAAATGTTGTAGTATATCTGGAAGTTTAAAAAAATGTAACCCAGTACTCACTGCAGTGAGAGACAGAGAGCGCATTTTCTCGTCGACGATGACTTGAGGTCACGGACGGACAGACAGACAGATGGACATGGCGAGCACAATAGTGCATTTTTTCCATAAATGAGAAAATGCGCTAAAAAGGAGTCACTAGCTTTTGAGGACAAGGAGGGGCAACGGACTCAAGTGCGGAACTCAACTTTAACGCAACCGAGCAACTTTTTAGTCCCTCAATTATAAACGAATCTGCTTGAAATTTGGAACATAACTATTTATTAGTAATTATTAAGGATTTTTGAATTATCTAAGAAACTAAAAAATTTGAGTTACCAAGGAAAGTAAGAAATACTAAACTTTCGAAAATTTGTGTTGTTACGTGAAGATATGTTAGGTTAGGATAACTTTTTATGCTATGATAGGTTAGATAACTATGATTGCATAACAACCGGCCTAATCTAACCATACCTAATCTAATTATCTTAAACTAACCTCACCGAATTCTTTGAAGCTTTCCTTTAAAAAAAAAAAAAAAGTTCACAAAAATCTGCCAAAATTCCAATTTCGACGTATAATATTCCAATTTCGGCAATAATATTATAACGAGGCTCGCAGGAGCGTATATTGTAACTAAATAGCTTAGTTACAATTTTGGTCCAAGTCGGTCCTGATTTGACAACTTACGCACGGAAAATCAGCTGTGAAATTCGTCTTAAAATTCGTCCCAAGAGTGTCAGAGCGTTTCTTTTCAGAAGAATGTCCATCATATGTTTCCTTAGATTTCTTACACTGAATATGGTAATCCGGGGCTCGCCGGATCTGACATGAAATTTTCGCCGATCGTTGGTAGCGGCATGCGGTCGAAAACGAAAATCTAACATGCGTTGCGGTGCCTAGAGAGAGAGAGTCGGAGGAGTTCATTCAGAAAACACATATATTACAATTATGCTCAGTGATTATATAAAGTAATACTTATACATTCATCAGGCTTCACCCGTTCAATGAATTAAATTTTTCCTCTAATCTAAAGAATCAACACTATTACTGTATAGTATGAATTTTTATGAATATTTATAACTTTTGCTTCACACTGACCCACGCAAAACCCAAAAATCTGTAGAAAACACATATGAAACTATTTGAATGGTGTAGGAAAAATCTTTGTGTTAAAATGCCTCGGAAACATGAAATGTGTGCAGAAACTTGTAAAAATGCAGGGACAAATTGTTTAAAATCTTTTGAGAACGCTTCGACGTTCCCGTAGGGCAACATGGGGCAGCGCCCCCCCCCCTTTTTTAAACTAAATTTTTGATGAAGTTTTAATTGATACGAGGTGGTTCTTTATTTTGTTTAAAGGTACAACTAATGAGGAATGTATGATGTGAATTAGACGCCTATAGAGTTATTCGATTTTTAATGAAACACTATTTTGTAAAAAGTGTCCAAATGGGCCCATTGCCCCACCCCTGGGGCAATGGGCCCATGGGCATGGGGCAAGGCGCCCACCCTTGATCCCTTTACCACAATTGCATATTTTTCGTTTAAAAATGATAAAACAACATTATACAGTTTAAAATAAAAAAGTGTAATAAAAAATATGACATTCATTCATTTATTATCAATTCAAAAAAATCATATCCATAACTTGAAAATAATATACCCTTGGCTTAAAAAAATCTATCACTGACGTGAAGAAAAATATTTCATTGACATAAAAATATATATCCTTGACTTGAAAAATATATCCTTGCGATAAAAAATTCGTCCTTGACATGAAAAAATATACCCTTGACTAGAAAAAATATATTTAGTTGATCAGAAAATACTTCCTTCCAGTTTCGTCCATAATCCAGATATTATGTGCAGAGAATTCGTACCTAATCGTGATTTCAGCCAACATCATAAAAACTCATCAACTTTTGGCTCATTGGTGTTGACTGAAATCAACTTTTGGCAAGGCAAGAGTCAATAACTCGATAAGGGGTCATAAATACGCATAACTAGAAACTAAACCTGCTACCTTGAGGCGGCAAATTAAAAAATCATGCAATATGAAGTGTAATTTGTATTTCAAAAAGCTAGTCATAGTTTGAAAAGGTAATTGAGACAAATCTAATTATGTATAACACAAGACTTCACCATGGGCGCTTTGCCCCGTGACACGCGTGGGCCCGTTGCCCCACTAGGTATCATATCAATTTATATCGTGTCAACATTTTATTTTAAAAGCTAATAGTCTAAACTTGATCTCAAAATTATCCCTATAAATATTACTTTCAAAATATATTTCACAGTCTCAAAAGCTTCATCTACACTAATCGAAAACAGTTTTATTTAGCAGTAAAAAATTTTTATCTGGGCTAAAACAGTTATTCACAAATAACTTAATAACGCAAACACTTAGCAAAACGTAAATCAGCACACTTCATCCCAGTGAAACTGTCGACCGGCGGTAGAGAACACGGACCAATATCTGCCATACTATGGCAGATATTGGTCCGTGCCTATCTGCCACGGACCAATTGGCCTATCCTTATAGGCCTATCTGCCTATAAATCCGCTATGGGCCCATGACCCGCGTTACCCTATATACCTTGGGTTTCGACGTTCCTCTGCTGGGTGAAAGACACGTCATCTCACGCCACAAGCCCCGGAGACGTCAGAGACGAGTCTCTTGCCTACTTTATTCCTTTAGGCTGGACTGTTACTTACTCTTAAATTTCCCCAATTATTTCTTTTCATACACCAGGTAGTGATATTCAAGGATTGAATTTTTAGTTAACGTTTTATCAAGCTTGAATTTGTTTGCCTGCAAGTTGGTTGTACGAAACTTGTCTTGGTTGACCGAGCCTGCCATGCAACGATCACGAGAGCTTAAATAATTTAAATCGTTTCCTTGTAGTCAACGTCTTCATTTGCTCCTAAAAATTGTATTATTAGTAGAAATTTACATAGTCTTTCTGTATGATATTCACGGCTCAAATATTCAGATATTATATTGCTGGAAAAATCGCAGTATTTTGGTACCTAACTAGAGTCCAATTTCTTATAGATTGCAGTTGAGGTTCACATAATCATTGACTTTAATTCTGACTGAAGTCAATAAGTCAATTTATTGCATATGAGAAATAACCATAATTTATTGACTTCAACTGAAGTCAATAAATTCCAACAAATCCGTTCAGTATTGTAGGAGTCATGCATGAGTGGTTCATGCGTTTGAGTCCGCAGGCGGGTCCGGAGAAATGTCGATTCAGTACATACGCGTTTAGGACTACTTACCTGACACATTGATAAATGCTCACACAGCTGCATAGTGAAACAAATATATACACCAACAATCAGCATATATTATAATTTTTAGTGCATTTTCTCATTTAAGAAAAAAAAGTCGCTATTGTGCTCGTCATGTCCGTCCGTGACTTGCGCTCTCTGAGATACTGCGCGCTCTGTCATTCACTACAGTGAGTACTGAGTTATATTTGCTGTACTTGTGCATACCTCAACTAATACCTCAACATACCTCAACTTACTAATAAATGAAGGCGATTTGAGCATAATAATATGCATATATTTGCAATAACACTAGTTATGCATAAAGGCGTTAACGTGAGACCCTGACGTGGGCATTTTTGACGTGAGACCCTGACGTGGGCATTTTTGACGTGAGACCCTGACGTGGGCATCCATTTTTCCCGCTGGTTCCAAATGGAATCGTTTGGCATAGATGGGTTAAGCTACATACCCGAGCTATAATAAGGAAAGTAAACACACAGAGAGTCTTACAAGTTTTTTATTACCTGTTTGCACTTACGCCTTTCTATACATTATGCTCACTGATTATAGAAGTTTATCAACATTACACTTTACAAATTATCCCTCGGCGGTTATGTGTTCTCATCCACATCGGGACAACGAGGAAGAACTATTTACAAACAAGAGGGAAGTGGTAGCCAAGAATATTGAGTCCAATACACGTAGTGGAATTTGCAGTGTCGAACAAAAGTGAATAAAGAATAGAATCTATCATGAAGAATATTTTCCAAAACGTTAGAGAGAAGAATATTTCCAGTAAAAAAATTGTTAAGAGTAAATACATTTTCTTTGTGCTGTTTCATCCCAACATTGGAATCATATTATATTCTGCCCGACATTGAGACTGCAGTTTGGTGTCGCTTGAGAAGGAATACGATTCTGACGAAGGAAATTTTTCTTTTAATAAACTTAAAGAGAAACGGGATTGGCATGACTCATTTGCAGCAATGCGTACTATAAATAAACATGAAGTGATATACATAACTTGTTGAAATGTTAAAAATGAAAAAATGAATGAAAACATGTGATAAAATAGACTTGGTTAATTAAAACGGAGGAATGAGTCGTATATTTTGTTCTAATGGTAGAAAATGTTTATAAAAATCTGAAAAAGGGAAATCTTTCATCGGAATCCATAGCATATGAGAAATGATTAACAGGAATATACAGCCATTCAAGACAATAGTCCAAGTACAATAACGAATGACGTACAAGACAAAATCATAAATTGGAAATGATTTAATGTTTAAGTAGCTAGGGACAAAGCGGACAAAGTTAGATCTAACACAGACATAAATCTGATCAACACGTCCAATAATTAGTAAAGTAACATTTAATATTCGTGTATGTTAGCTAAAGATGCATGGAATATTTAGGATAGACGTGAAGAGTAGCGACGTTAACGCTTTGTGTATTTCTGACGCCTGAAGCACTCAGATTCTCTTCCCTGCAGTGAACGAGAAGTTGGTAGCTCTTTTTGGACGCACTCTAATGTGAGAAGTGCGTCTACATGGGAAATAAGAAGTGCGTTCTACTCAATGTGGTTCATGGGAAATAAGACAAAAAAAAACAACGTTGAAGAGGTAACTAGAACAGCTGGGAGAGACAACGTTATGCCATAAGAAAGATACGAACAAGACACTAAGAAGAATTTGACTTGTCGGAAAAAAAATCCTGACCAAGTTGACCAAAAATCCTGACTAAATGCACGCAGAAAGTGTCACTATTAGGAAAGAAAATTCTTTTTGTTTTCAGTGTATAAGGATAGCTTTAATTCTGATGGAAAGCCCGTCCCACGCCGACAAAATTCATTCACCAATTAATCGTTAAGAAAATTTCAATAAGATGATGTCGAGAGTCAAATATTTAATTCCTGCATATTCGGCGAGCTCTACACGCAGGATCTGAAATAATTGACTAGCTATAATAGTTAATAAAGTATGTCAGTCCTCTAAATAAGCTCACTGTATCAGAGCGTTAGAAGGTAAAGAAATTTTATATATCATCTACCGCAATGATCTGTAAAAGTTATTTTCAGTAAAGGTTATTCACATGAAAAAAGTCAACAAAGCTAAATTGTTTGAGAAAGACATATTCTCGACTCTACCAGACATCTGAAGTTGAAATTATGATGATTAAACGTTGTTTCAATGAAATCGATTCGTCATCAACGCACTTTCAACGTCATTTGCCTGAAGAGTAGGTACCAAAAATTAGAACGTACAATTTCCTATACAGAGACGATGCCCAAGTCCGGCATGGGGTTTAAAACCTGCCTTAGATCGTCTACTACAAATTCTCAAGAGATCAAAGCAATCTTAATCTCTGCATATCTCAGAGAGTAACTTTAAGCACAATTTCTAGTTAAGGATGAACTTTACATACAAAAATAGACATGGTTTATGGTGTGGCACAATAGCTTATCAGGGCACTACAGCAAGTAATACAACGAGTGGCACCTAACAGAGTGACAAGACAGAGCAAGTTTTAGCCGACTTTCTTCTTCATCAAAACAAGATTTAATTCTAAGTCATGATATTTTTATTAAATATATCAGAAGTTGACATATAATGATTCAAAATGAATCATGAAGAGATTTTGTAATTAAAGGATGACTAATACAAGGATTAAGATAGTCAACGTAAAACTAACTCGCGCTTGTCGCTGTGAAAAGGGAGGCATTGCGATCATGGGAACAGATGTTGTTATCTAGCAGATGTTGTTATCTACTGATATGAAGTTCTTAACTTACAAGATTGCAGACTTGAGAGCATAGTCAAGGCATCGTCTGTCAGACGAATACAGTCAAGGTAGCGGGCACCAACAATTAATTAATAACCTTGAAAATTCAAGACAAATACAACAGATATGGAAAATAAACAAATTAAAACAACAATTAAAATTTCAGAGTCAAAAGTTACGAACGGGAAGTTGAGGGTTTGATTGGCCAGAGATTTTAAATGGAAAAATAAGTGTGACAGTCTACAGGTCACGACCGTCTGATACATGAATAATACGGTGTGCAAGAAAGAGCACTGAACAACCGTGTTTCAAAAAGGACCGTTAATATTTTCTTAAATTCATGGGATTCATAGGGTTTTTGTACACCAATGCTCTAATATCTAATCCGTCGGAATATAGCTTCACTCCAGAATTTTTAGACTCAGAAGTAACAATTGAGCAACGAAAGCAACGATATAACTGGGTTGTCAATTGAAAAAAGGATTACTATTGGTAATGAAAACTCTGTGAAGCAGGCTTAGATCACAAAATGGGTTAAAATACAAGGTGGAAAATATCTTGCGCCGAAATATATTTATCATCCGCGCGTGTTCCCAGGTAAGCAAATTAACTGTGGCCGAGATGGTGCCAATTAAAACATCTTCATTTCTAACGGTCATAGGCATAGAGATGACCTTAGATTTACTTACAAAAGTCCTATTATTAAGAGCCCGCGTAGAGGAAAGTTAAGGAGGGAGATCTACAGGGGGAAGTTATACAAGACTAATCTCGTATGGGTAACTAAATCCTGCTGATTGATGATTAAAATTTGATGCCGATTGTTGAGCATCAATTGAAAAACTAAAAATAAAACCCTCGATCTAGTATATTTTTAAATAGCAAGAGAATTCAGACTAACCTTATGAAGGGCATTGAAAAGCCGATCTAATTCGGCTTCAGTAGTCACAAAAAAGCGCCTCATACTGCGATGCTTTCTAAACGGCGCTCTCGTTGGATCAGGACATACAATAAATAAGTCGACAACAACAAACACAAGTTGATCTGGACGATACATGACACACGAAGTTACATTCAAAGGAAACGAATAAGTAAGAACAGTTGAAAAACCTGATTGAAAATTCGCAGGTAAATGTGCTTACAACCCGAATTACAATTACAAGTAAAGCATCCGCAATTCAAGGTTTTCACCTGGAAACCAATAACGATTATCACGAATTCTTCACGTCTATTCGCAGTTATAATCTTAGTAAAGTAGAAAAATCAACTTGTCGATTCACTGCAAAAATTTGCCCGATTCACGGTAAAATCTTGGCGAATAAAGGCTTTAAGAGACCAATATCCTGATACTCAATAATACATCAAACGATCGTAATCTCTAACTTCACGTCGTTGTCTTACAGTATCTGCTTCTTTACACAATAGTGCAAATTTTAATTTTTTTAAGGCATCGTGATTGTTTTTTTTAGAATCGGACCCATGTTCAATAGGACAAACTGAGCAATGTTAGAAAACTCACATTTTTGGACTGCGGCCTCGTAAATGCCATTACACATTCACTGACAAACACGTCACTAACTTACAAGCAGGACAACCAAGACAAACAATTCACATACAAGTTTCCTTCACTGAAATTTTCGTTATGCTAAGCAACACGAAAGAAAGAAAATTTTAGGCGAACCTCGACTTTTCAATAAATTTACACAAGGGAGAAAGTTTACGTGAGAATCCATGCACCAAATTTTCAAGCAACACAGTCATAAAAGTAAACAATGAATTGAAAAAAAGTAAAACTAAATTTTATGGTGAAAGATAAGCGTGTATTTTACTCACATTAACGAGAAGAAATAAACTTGCAAAATTGCTATGCGTAACAGACAATGAATAGAAACAGCTTACACTTTACTTGTTTACACTTCTCTTCAGCGCCACGTATTGAAGAATGATTTTATTGGCGCAAAATATTCTGCCGAATTATTAAAAAATTTAATGGTCAATAGAAATATGCCCTGATTTATAAATGCTATGCACTACAGAGAGTTAAGAATGACAAGTGAAAACAGTCAAGTATTCATCGTGATGGAATGACAAGCAATAATAGCAATCTCCTTCATTTACAATTATCTTCCAAAATACACGTGGGAAATATTTCCTTCATCTTCAAATAGTGATGAAAGTCGATATAATTATCACGACGTCCTAAAAGGAGTCACAATTCGCAAGCGGTACAATGGCTCTACTTCTTACCCAAAGCTTACAAGTCAGCAAGATATGGAAAGTTCCTTATAAAAATATAGATTGCCCATAACAAAGAGAGCGACTACGCTCATCGTAGATCCTACAGGTAGACTACATGACCTCGCAACGACATAGCATCTTTAGACACGCACCACGTGATGAAGCATGCACTCAGAGAAATGGATGGGACACATTGTTCAAATAATGACACACTTTCTTACCCTTAGCACGAGCATAGAGCAGACGTAACACTAATACGACCTTTTGCCGGGCCAAACTGGATCAGCTTTACCCACGCAAGAGCAAGAAGTGCATCGTAATTTGGACATGATCTCCTTCATTCCTCTGAGAGTTTGCTCATCCAAAATGCTGAGTTTCCAGTACCCAACAACTTTAAGATTCCAGTAAGATCAAAACATCAAGATCAGGCTCACTGCACGAGACAAGCATGTCTCATGAAGGGTCCAAGGAAATCTCAGAAAAATCAAAATCACAAAGGATTTCGCTTCAAGTTTTCAGGTGCGTCGCTAACGAGATGTTGTGAGACCGATCGCAATGCCGGGAAAATGTGTCAGAACCTTGACACGCAAAGTCCGTTGAAGATCACCACACAAAATAAAGGGAAGATGCTAGCCTCAAGATGGCCAAAAAGTTTTATGTGTGTAGGGGGAAGGGGAGGGGAAAGTTTCAAGTTGTTGGTGGGTGCTGCAGCTCTTGCTGCTCTTCTTGATCCGAGGTAATAACATTCCGTACAATATCATGGAACGCATCGTCATCTTCTGCAGTAGTTATAGCAGCCGCGGCAGCGGCCACACCGCTTCTGTCATCGTCATCAGGCACGTCGCTCTCCTGCATCACAATACAAGAAGTGGGACACTAAAATATAATGAGATATTATGAAATATATGAGGTACCTTGAAATATTGACACGTCAATCGCTCTCCTGCATCACAATACAAGAAGTTTGACACTAAAATATAATGAGATATTATGAAATATATGAGGTACCTTGAAATATTGACACGTCAATCAGTTTCCTGTTCCACAAGACATTGAACTGAAAAACTGAAAATCCTTTAAAAAAATAATCAAAAACTTTTTGATTGTTGACATCAGTCTCCTGCACCGCAAGACAAGCAATTAGCGAGGTACTATTGACACGTCCAATTTCTTGATCATTGATGAAGTCTAAGAATGAAACACTCAAATGAACTTATCTCAAATTGCAATACAAGGGAAAAATCCACTGGGATGAAGTGTAACCATTTATTCCATTCAAGAGGTTCGAAAATAGCCAACGAAAAAGTTTACTTCGCGTTAAATTTGAAAGAAGCGAGTATTGATCAATAGAAATATTGATCAGAAGAAAGGTAACTTGGCAACGAAACCCTGCACTGTGCCGGGGTCTTATTGAGTTCATTAATGAAAATGGTGAGCCATACAAGCCAAGCCTACAAAGTTCTGCACGAGAATTTGACGGGTGATGTATCATTGAGCGTATTACATGCAGACGTGTAGGAGTGTTAACACGTAGTAGAGCGTATTACATGCAGACGTGTAGGAGTGTTAACACGTAGTAGAGCGTATTACATGCAGGGGTGGAGGATTGTTAACATGTAGTAGAGCGTATTATATGCAGGGGTGGAGGATTGTTAACACGTAGTAGAGCGTATTACATGCAGGAGTGTTAACACGTAGTAGAGCGTATTACATGCAGGAGTGTAGGAGTGTTAACACGTAGTAGAGCGTATTACACGCAGGAGTGTAGAGTGTTAACACGTAGTAGAGCGTATTACACGCAGGAGTGTAGAGTGTTAACACGTAGTAGAGCGTATTACACGCAGGAGTGTAGGAGTGTTAGCACGTAGTAGAGCGTATTACACGCAGGAGTGTAGGAGTGTTAACACGCTAAGCTCACTCACCTCATGGAGGTCTCTGGATACGAGCTGCGCGAGGTCGTCCTGAGCGCTGCCTGTCCTCGCTCTCTCTGCATGAAACACACCAGTACAATAATTAATTTATTTACTATAAATTCATCATTATTTTATTACTAATCGATTAATTAAACTTGTTACTATAGAAAATAAATTATTATTTTTAATACTCAGATGCCGAGAACATTGTTCAAAAATAATCACCGGAATTGATTGACCTCAGTCTAAATTATATTTTCAGTCGAAAGAATTTCCATGGAAATTTATTACAATTATTACTGACATTTTGCGCGGAATACAACGATAACTTGAATTAAATGAAAGACTCGTCGAAATTGATATAAATAATTTAATATACATTAATCAACATTAATTGAGAAATGTACTCGAATTATTATGCAACTTACCCTCAAGAGATACGATCTCACTGTCATCCCTGACGTCTGGGGCTGGCGTGGATGAGGATTGTGACACCATGGAGTTGGGGCGGGAATTGGTGGGGGTTATGCTCTGGTTGTGGTGGAGTTGGTGGATGCGTTCTTTTGACGCTACCAACTCCTTACGCATGCGATCCCGCTCGTCGTCTCGCTCCGTCACCAGGTTCTGTAGAATTTTTTTTTTAGTGCATTGAGTTATTTAACAAAGTAAACAAACAATAAACATATAATTAGGAATACATGAAACAACTAATTAAAATAGACAAATATTTGAAAATAATTAGTGACAGATAAAACGAATAATAAGAATGAACATGGAAATGCTGAATTTATTTGCGAAAATTCATATTGGTGAAGATATCTGACCAGCAAGGCGTTGAGCTGAAGCGACAAGGAGCCAGTGATGCTCATGAGCTTGCTCATGGGTGCAGGATATAGCGGCAAGAGGCTCGAGCTGAGCTTATTGGCTGACTCAGCACCACCAGCTTTAGCTGCCACAATGTCGCTCTCTCTGATAGTGAGCGCCTCATTGAGCGCCTCCTGCAGGCAGTTTGCTTGGTAGATCGCAGCGAGCACCAGCTCACGGGGCTCCTTAGGTCCGCTGCCGGGCTCGCTGGCCATGTCACCCAGGGTCTCGAAGTGCTCTCTGTGGAGTAAAGTGTCTCGTTAGGTGTCTCGAAGTATTCTCTGTGAAGTAAAGTGCCTCATTAGGTGTCTCGAGGTGTTCTCTGTGGAGTAAATTAAAGTGTCTCGTTAGGTGTCTCGAAGTGCTCTCTGTGAAGTAAAGTGTCTTGTTAGGTGTCTCGAAGTGTTCTCTGTGAAGTAAAGTGTCTGGAAGTGTTCTCTGTGAAGTAAAGTGGCTCGAAGTGTTCTCGGTGAAGTAAAGTGTCTCGAAGTGATCTCTGTGAAGTAAAGTGTCTCGAAGTGTTCTCTGTGAAGTAAAGTGTCTCGAAGTGCTTTCTGTGAAGTAAAGTGTCTCGAAGTGTTCTTTGTAAAGTAAAGCGTCTCGAAGTGTTCTCTGTGAAGTAAAGTGTCTCGAAGTGTTCTCTGTGAAGGAAAGTATCTCGAAGTGTTCTCTGTGAAGTAAAGTGTCTCGAAGAGCTCTCTGTGGAGTGAAGTGTCTCGAAGTGCTCTCTGTGGAGTAAAGTGTCTCGTTAAGTGTCTCGAGATGTTCACTGTGGAGTAAAGTGCCTCGTTATGTGTCTCAAAGTGTTCTCTGTGAAGTAAAGTGTCTCGTTAGGTGTCTCGAAGTGCTCTCTGTGAAGTAAAGTGCCTCGTTAGGAGTCTCGAAGTGTTCTCTATGAAGTAAAGTGTCGTTAGGTGTCTCGAAGTGTTCTCTGTGGATTAAAGTGTCTCGTTAGGTGTCTCGAAGTGCTCTCTGTGAAGTAAAGTGTCTTGTTAGGTGTCTCGAAGTGTTCTCTGTGAAGTAAAGTGTCTGGAAGTGTTCTCTGTGAAGTAAAGTGGCTCGAAGTGTTCTCTGTGAAGTAAAGTGTCTCGAAGTGTTCTTTGTGAAGTAAGTGTTTCGCTAAGTGTCTCGAAGTGTTCTCTGTGAAGTAAAGTGTCTTGTTAAGTGTCTCGATGTGTTTTCTGTGGAGTAAAGTGTCTCGTTAAGCGTCTCAAAGTGTTCTCTGTGAAGTAAAGTGTCTCGAAGTGTTCTCTGTAAATTAAGGTACCTCCTTAAGTGTCTCGAAGAGCTCTCTGTACATTGAAGTGCCTCGTTAAGTGTCTATGTGTTCACTGTGAATAAGGTTTTATTGCATACGAAGTTTTCGCTTTGAATCAATAAGCCTTATTATGTGTCTCGACAGAAACAATATTCCTTGCAAACCGTTTCATCATGTTATTGGTAAGTACAGTTACGTGTCTCAAAGCTTTACTGCGTGAGCCACAAGCTTCTATAATGTGCTCAGTATGTTTTCCGTGAGGTAAAGGGCACAACTATACATGCCTTTAACTGCTGTTACCAAAGAAGTTCAAATGTCAGCGAAACTCGTCTTTCAATTAACACAACCCTGATACGTTCATAGTTCTGGAAATGAAAATGTTCGCTTCACTCTGATTTTAAGACGTGCTCCGATTGCATGACTAACCCATCTCCGACATAGTCATTATCATCGTCATGGGAACACCGGTATTAAGAATGGAGTCAACCAATTTATAGGTAATGATGATATAATAATTACATTATGTGTGACAGAAATTGAGATCGGGATACACTTTCGCGTAGGGCATCTTGTCTTACATCCCTTTATTATCCACTGAAGTTAATATATATTCATTTTTATCCATTTAAAGATATACATATTGATTAATCCCTTGATATAAATATAATAGTGAAGCATATCAACTCCAGATTATACCAACTAAGATAAAAATCTATCACAAGAAACATTATCGCACGAAGTTTGAAAGAAGTGCGCATGGATTTCAACCTCTCAATAGACAAACTATTGTCTCCTAAATCCTTAAATACAGTAATTTTGGGAGCGAATATAAGTATTTCGACTGAAAAAATCAATTACAAATATTATGACACTTACCTTGGGATACCGAGGATGTCAGCAATGATGTGTTGTTTCTCCTTGAGTGCTTGCTTGATTTTAAGGTCTTTACGCCGCAGATGCTCTGTTGCAAGAACAGTAACATTAAGACCATCGAAAGTGTATAACTAATACGTGACTATTGACGAGAATATAAACATTATTTTGAAGGCTGGGAAGTGAATATCTATCCTGAGAAATACTAGGAGAAACGAAAGTAAATCGCAGAAGCGAAGAACCATTCGCCCCAAAGTATGCGATACCAATGAAGTTATGTCAATATTCGCAGTTCAATTGATAGGCAATCATTTCATGCAGACTTTCAAATTCATGCGAATCGATAATTCATGAAATAATAAGAGATACAAGGGAAGGGCACATAGTACCTAGGTCTATAAATTTGACTTAAAAATATCAGCTGTTTCGAGCTAGAAGTGCTGAGGTCATAGGGTTCAATCGTGCAAACAAATTTAATCAAACGTGAGAAATAATCAATTAATTACCAATTAATCAATTTGATCAATCAATAATTAATCTAGTGGGAATCATCAAGCATAGATTTAAAGTGTGCCGAGCAATCTATTGAGCTGATGGTGAGCGACATGCAAGAATTGAAACGTTATCGTACGAACACTCAGAGAAATGTGAGAGTTTATTCAAGTAGCGACGCAATTTTAGCCATGTTCTGTGTCATCATCACTTGACTGACATAAGGGCATATCAGTGCCAAAGGTAAAGGGTGTGTCACTCTATGAAAAATATCACCCATTCATTCATGACCTTGAAAATTTTGAAATTTTCAAGATCATATTTTGAAAAATATGACCGCCCTGACGCAACTTTTCTCTAGTGTCATGCACGACGATGGTCGCCCAAACTTCACTATAATCACCGTATTAGACCTCACGGTGAAATTGCAATATGGGGGTTAATGTAAATCACGAAATTCTTGCCTTGTTCCGACAACAATTTTTGCTAAAGTCTCTTTGGTATTTATTTTGATCCTTATCCTGAGACTTGAACTGACCTATATAGGAGAGTTGATGAACTGTACTTTCATTAGAAATTCATAAGGATAGCCGGTCTAGCGGCATCACCGACGAGCTGTTAGCTACAGGGTTGTTATCGCCCTCATTTATTACTTATGAGGCTGCTGGCATAGGACTGTTATCACCTTTATTAATTACTCATTAGGCCGGCTATCACCGAAAAATTGTTATCTGTACGGCTGTTATCACCCTAATTAATAGCCTTACTAACCGGAAAGGCTGTCCATCACCAAAGAGCTGTTGGCTTTAGAGCTGTTATCACCCTCATTAATTACTCATGATGCTGTCATCACCCTCCTTTATCACTCATGAGGCTGTCATCACTCATGATGCTATTATCACCCTCATTAATTACTCATTAGTCAGGCCATTCCTCACGAGTCATATAGCAATAAGGCAGTTAGGAAGCTGTTACCTATTGGCGTAAGCACAGGTTGTGCGGACAGCACGACGCCCTGAGACACAGTCACTTCTGAAGGGGAGATGAGGGGAGTGTCCTCTACTATCTGGATGATCTGAACCTCCTGCAGTCTGCGTGTAGAGCCACGACCTGCTGCACACTCTGCACCAGCAGAGCTATTGCTCCCACTCACGTCATTGCCGTCTGCTGTGTGAGCTTTAGCTTAATGTGGCTACCCGCAAGCATTAACTTACACCGCAAACTCATTATAATACCAAAGAAATAGAGTTCTCGCCATTAAACCAGAGAATCGTGCATTAACTTCACCAACTTAACGCATAGCTTTTTTCGTACCATGGCAGCACGGTACTAAAAATGAAGTCCTTGACTATACAATAAAAGTAGACGCATCGCTTAAAAAAATCGGGATAAGTTTCAAGTTTTACAGGATAAAATTAATTTTTTTGCAGCATAGCAGCCATCTTTAAAAATAAAAAGTTGAATTACAGTTAGCTTGGCAAAACTGCAATATCTGATACAAAAATCTGTGTTGTTCCAGTACAATGCAGAATTTTTAGTAGCATTTACATTTTATTTCGATTTAATCCGTTAAGTTGGTGCGGTTAACGTGCAATGAGATGCACTTCAGGCAACGTCAGGGAGTTCGTGAAGAAGTGAATCAACAAATTAAATCTGAGTCAAGAGATTAAAGGAAATAGCAAAGCTGGAAATTAAGAGGTTGATCTTATTGCATGGCATTCTCAGATGCAGGAGTTGCAACATTGAAGGACTAGGTGCGTATCACAATATTTCAGGGTGAATAATATTTCTGGTGAAATGCATGACAAAATACAATTTATACGTTGCAAGTACACGAGGAATCATGCTGTGATGCCTTCTTAATGATTGATGCAAATAGGGTGGGAATAAAGTGTGTAGATATTATGTATGTTGTAACTTGCACGTATGTAACTTGCAAAGAACGATGTCTTCATCACGCAACTGAAAAACCTGACAACTATTGCGGAATCGCTCGTTTCATGACTCGGAAAATGATTGTGAACTACCTATAACAATTTTGGTACTACCTAGTAATATTCGGTCACTACCTACAACTATTTGGTCACTAATCACAAGTATTTGGTAACTACCTACAACAATATTAGCGATACCTGCAACTATTAATTGATCGCCAATCTGGATCAATATTTAACTGGAACACAAGTTCACAACACATTGACGTGAAAGTGATGGACGACAGTATCTCTGAGAATACCTGATGCTCAGAGCATTAATGATGCTCAGAGCACCAATGATGCTCAGAGCACCAATGATGCTCAGAGCACTAATGATGCTCACAACATCATTGATCCCCACATTCCATCACTATTCCCCTGCATCATCTACCATAGACCAGCTGTGGATGCTGGAGTTAATATCCTAAGAACAGAACAAGTTTTATATTTCATAAGAGAGGTAACTTATAATCAGTTTCGCAATACCTATTTTAGTAGAGAAGCAGACGACAGATACAACAAGAACCAAGAATATAAAACCAACAAATCACCAAGAAAGAATGAAAAGAAGAACAAGTTACCTACAGAAGTGACTAACATATCCGACTCCAGATAGTGATAATCATAATAAAAAATTAATCATAATTAATTAAAAAATTAACCAAAGAAATCGGAAGCGGTTTAGTCGAGATAATGACATCAGCTTCTAAAAATATAGGGAACTTCAATTATTGTGTTGTGAAGGACAGTAAATGCAATTTTTGAACCTGTAGTAAAGTGAAAATATAAATCGAAACGATGTCTCACTCTACAAGATGACTATAATCAATCATGATGATGAGAGATGTGTGGAATGATAGTAGGGGTGTTGTGGGGGCACATATGTGATATTTTAATTATTACCGTATATGGTGCTACGGTACTACCGAGCAAGACAATGATATAAGGTACTCGTTAACTAGCTAAGTCAGTGCATCTAATCTGGTTGGTGGCAAGCCTAATATTCTAAAATGAAAATACTTTAAATTGATCGAACGAGCAATATTTTAAAAGTTCAAATAATGACGGCCAACAAGTACTATAGAATTAAATCTACTTTTAAATCCATAGTTATCAAGTAAAAATAACAATTCAGTGCAATTCTCAAGTCATTGCATAATTCAGGCCGATGGTACAAAACGAACTATCAGCGCCGATAAAGTACTTTCGATGCCAAGAAAAAACAACTAAAATATAATCAATACGATAATTAATAATCAAAAATAAGGGAGGTGTGCCCAGAGGGGGAAAAGATAACGGGGGTGAGGAGGGGGGAAGATAACAAGGAGGGAGGGGGTAAGATAACAAGCCTCACCGGTCTTCTTAGCAAAGGAGTCATTAGGTGAGTCGTTGGAGTTGTTATTGTTGTTATTATTGTTGTTGTTGTTGGCTGAGGTGCCGGGGGTGGCGGGGCACTCGCCAGAGTCTGGCGCCTCCGAGTCGTCCAGGCTGTCCTCGACGCCACTGAAAAAAATATATTTTAGTTACAAATCTTTGTCTAAATATTTATTGATCGTCGTCTAATGTTACTTTTAATATAAGTAATACCAACGGACATATTACCACGCCACTGAAAAAAATATATTTTAGTTACAAATCTTTGTCTAGAGGTTTGTTGATCATCGTCTAACGTTACTCTTGGTATAAGTTTTAGTAAGGAAACATTATCACGCCATCGAAAAAATTTGTGTTTAAGTCAATAGCTACAATATTTTGCTAATACAGTGTTACAAATACTATTGTAATTGTAAACAGAATATAAATATATAATAAAGTGTTATTGAGAGAGACTGGTTCTCTAAAAATCCTGGCTGATAATTACGACCCGGAAGGGTCGTAAAAAAGAAAAAGAAAAAAAAAAACCGGTCGTAAGAAAAATTAAAGGGTCGTAATATCCAAATAGTGACACACTTTTTGGTCAAAGCCCGAGCATGGATCGGGCGTAGTTCTAATACGCCAATTCGCTGGTTAAGGATGACCCACACAAGTACATCACTATTAGGACAAAATATCCAGTAAATTCTCTGAGTGTGTAAGTACTCACTCTCTGTCGTGAAGAGGTTGTGAGTCGAGCTCCTGTTCCTGTTGTTGTGAGGAGGAGGGAGGCTGCGAGCGTCTGTTGCTGCGGCCACCGTCTCTGTTGTCGATGATACTGGCCTGTGTCTCTTGGAAGTGACGGAACCATCTGCACAAAATATAAGAGTTCGTGATAAAGAGTGATCCGAAATATCTGCACAAAATAGAGTGCACGACGAAGAGTGACCATGAATATCTGCAAAAAATAGAGTATACTTCCCTTCCTAACACTCAGAGAAATGACGAAGACATACTTAAAATAGCGCTACATTGAGTATGTCATCCTGACACAGTTTGGGTCGGCGAAAGGTCGTGCTAGGTCCACTCTCTGCTCGGGCCATAGATAGCACCACTATCCAAGTGCGTCACTATTTAGGCCATAAGTCCCATTCATTTCCCTGCATGACCAGATCATAAATAACATAATGAACTGGCAGTTTATACTCTTCCTGAACTGTCAGCTAGGGAATAAGTTCACAGTTTGTCCTGTCAAAGGGGCTCAAGTCTGCTGTCTTCTCGTACTGTGGTGTGTCACTATTTGATTTGAACAATACGAGCCAATCATTTCCCTGAGTGACCAGATCATTAATAATATAATGAACAGGCAGTTTCGACTGCTCTCGAACTGTCAGTTAGGGAATTTGTGGAGCCGTGAGGGCGGATATCGTCACTGCCTGCGATCGATCCGCAGCCTCAGGCCATCTCCTGCAACACCTGAGCCGTCCGCCCCTCTCGCAACTAAAAAGAACACCTCAATTCAACGGCATATTCCTATTAACTCTCTGAATACAGCCCATATATTTGCCCTATTAACAGCCTATTAACATATGAATACAGCCCTATTTCATATTCAAATGCAGCAGTTTCATACCTATTTCATATTAAATGCAGCAGTTTCATACCTATTTCATATTAAATGCAGCAGTTTCATACCTATTTCATATTAAAGTAAGGAGTTTTATCCATATTTACTATTTTAATGCAGCGATTTCATCCCTATTTACTTTTTAAACTCAGCTTCCTCATTCCTATTAAAGTTCCAACAATGCATTAAAAACTAATTTTTTTCGTTTTACAACAACAATGCTAATATCGAACGTAAAACAAAATTAAATTTTGTCTAACAATGAAATCCGGTAATTAACATTTTAACTACAGAGCCTTAGTCCTATAAAGACGATCGTACGGATTCAAGTGATCCGCTATAGTAAAATAAACAGATTTCCACAACGTGGAATTCGGCTTTTAAAAACCATAACAGTTATGAAGCTTTGGATACACGTGAGTTAACGGAAAAAATCTATCCAACATAAATAGCTTCATGAAGTTTATAAAGAAACGGCGGTGACATGGCAGCAACAGCAGCTTATGAATACAGGTAGGGACAATTGCATTCAAATTTTCATTTCAGCACGAAAATTGATTTGAACTTCCTCAACATGTAGATTGACAGTCGCTTACGCCATCAGCATGAACTGATTTTCCGGTATAAAAGACTATGAAATCGCTTTTGGATGGCTGCATTTAATTTTTTGGAGAGCAGGATGCTACACTTCAAACAAAACGGCGCTTGCTTCAATTTATTCAAGAAAATTTGCAATGGAATCGATGTGAAATTGAATAGAATTTCGCGCCTGGAGCCCGCAATTAATCGAGGCTTCTGTCAGCCAATCGCAGACAGCTTTTTAAGCGAACCCACCAATCACATGCAGACGAGAAATCGGCCGCTATACGCGTACTTAGGTCGCTACGCGTACTTAATTAGGCCGCTACGTGTACTTAATTAGTCGATCACTACGTGTACTTAGGTCGCAACGTGTACCTAGGTCGCTACATGTATTTAGGTCGCTACGTGTACTTAGGTCGCAACGTGTACCTAGGTCGCAACGTGTACCTAGGTCGCTACATGTACTTAGGTCGCTACATGTACTTAGGTCGCTACGTGTACTTAAATCGCTACGTGTACTTAGGTCGCTATGTGTACTTGACCGAGTTTCTATAGTGCGACCCCAGGACGCAATTTTGAGTCCTCGTAAGCGACAGGTATGTGTTAGAGGAGTTAACGTTACTGAAAAGATTACCGGATGTCCAAAGGCCATGAGTATCGGTAAGCCTTTGCAGCAGCGGTAGCCTGGGCATGACGTCACGGAACCTTAAAGCTGACTTCAGTTATCCGGCTAGCAGCAGCAAAACGTTTGTAAGGTCGGCCAACACCAATAAAATATTGATGCTTATGCTTCTTACCATGCTTACAATTGTATAGGAGTTTCTAGCGCGCGGTTTCTGAGTGCGAGGCTACTACCTCTGCAATAAACTTCATCTGAACTTCTTCACACCAACACGTTGCGACAACAAATTAAGTATGGAGTTAAGTTTGGAGTTTCTATTCATTCCAATTTCTGAGAATTATCTACATGCAAAGCGAATAAACAAACAAATAATATAAATGACGCATTATACCTTCCGCAAAAACTTTGATGGATTTTAGGAAACGAAATTATTATCCTGTGTTTGAGGTCAATTTCTTTTATTCTTCCATTGTTATAAAAAACACTCGGTGCGGCTGGATATTATATTATTACTAAGGAACTATTATAATATTATATTACTGTTATTATTAGTCGCGTAATTATGGTAGACGGCAGCCGGAGATGGTAATGCATAATAAACGGCTTCGGGTAAAGATTTTTGTTGCAACAGCAAGTGGCAAATTCCTACTTAAATATCGCATCGCTTAAAACCGCAGAAAATAAATGCTGATTTCACATCTAGTCAAAAGGTCAGCTAAATGGCAAAGCATAATTGACGCTACTCACGCTACCCATTTGATATAACACAAATATTGTGCTAAGTTATTTTCAGACTGTTGACCATGAATATCAAGCAGGCTATGAATAGATTGAATCAGTCAGGAAAGATTAACTTTAGTCAGACTGCATAATTTTACGACGTAAGAATCCTAACTATTTCGGGTATATTTGTACCAATGCAGTCCGAAAAAAATAAAGAAGTAGAATTAAATTTTTTGAATAAACTCAGCGTGTCGGCCTCATCAGATTTGCACAAAACTAATGAAAAAAAGATGAAAGTTTCGAACAAAACGAAACGTTTTGTTCATCCAGGCTCATCGGATTTACACAAATCTAAGAAGCAAAATTTTAAAATTAAAAATCCGCATCTTGGCCTCAACAGAAGCTACCTGACCACCAACGAACTCCTCCTGTCCGTGGAACTCGGTGAACGGTCACCGCTTCGGTCTTCAGGCCGAGAGGAGGAAGCTCCGGACGCTTTAGCAGCGCCGATGTCCAGATGCCGTTTCTCGTAATGCCGCTCGAACTTCTCGCTTTTCTTGTCATATTTGTCGCACTTGTCGCAGTGGCGATCAGGCGGTGAGTGGGGAGCAGCTAAGAGTCTGTCACCGAGCACGTTAGGCACCGTCAGGAAAGGTCCTGAGATCGATGTGGCGGTTGACAGCGATCCTCGACGACTCTCAGATCTGCCCTTCTTGTCGAGAACATTGCGTTCCAGCTGCAGAGACTTGCGACGAAACATGTTGTCGTCGAAAACCTAAATATTGAAGCTCATATGCTTTACTTAAATGTATAAATAATATGTACTTAAATACTTAATATGAATACTTGACGAAGACAAGACGCTTTGAAAGCACTATATAGAAGGAGTAACTTTCTTCGGTAGTTAAGTATTGAACAAAGGATGTTGTTCCTTCTTTATTTGAGACATCGTTAGAGCATCAACACTGGGTCTGGGTGTAATACATAATGACGGATTTTGAAGTGGTCATAAGCCGAAGAAGCTAATCAGCTATTTTAATGAATTTTTTTTCTGGAGCAGAGGTCTTTACATTCTGAAGCACTGAAACTGATGCTTCCAACGAGCAATGTATTACTTCCCTACACGCTTAGAAAACCTGCAAAAAGCCATGATGTATAAAGCTTTGAAATGAACGCACCATGGCTTCACCGTGACATCAAGCTAGACCAAAGAAAAAAGGTGTACATTTCACTGGGATGTAACATCGAAAATTCTCATCCAAGCTTGAACAATCAGTTAGACAGCGCTGAATATCAGTATTTTGTCCTGTAAGTGCAATTTCTAACGATACAAACTTCAATATTGTCATGTTTATTCTATATTACGTATGAGATAAACTTTCCACCCTAAATATTTCTAACTTACATTCGTAAATGAAAAGAAAAAGATTACGCTTATCAAGAGAGTTTAATCGACAAACTAAAAATTAACGCAGGCTGAAGTCATTTCAATTAACGCGTGACGTCAATTTATCGCGATGGATTACTGGACGTCTGACGCTGAATTTCGACGAAATTCAGTGCAGCATGCGACCCGCCGCCGTTCATCACGGGACGTCGGACGCTGAATTTCAGCGAAATTCAGCGCAGCATACGGCCCGCCGACGTTTATCGCGTGAAATCTGACGCTGAATTTCAATTACACGCAAAACACGTGTCATAAATTATGACCGGCTGCAATTAATCACGGAGCGTTGGGCGCTAAATTTCAGTAATAATTAACGCAGAATATGACCCGCTGCCGACGCTGCTTGATATCCCGCGGCAACGCATTAGCGCATTTTTGAGGTCCCTAAGCATAAATAAAGTTCACTGTGACACCGAACGATCAGTGAGAAATACAAGAATAATAATGAGCTCTCTAAATATATAGCTGACCTGTGGATGTGTTATAATTGAGTATTAGGCGAGATAAATAATCTACACGGAACATGGATGTGGAGAGATTGAAATTTCAAATAGGTGATATACTTGATGGGATATCGAAAGTGACAAATAGTGCACGAGGCAATTGAAAAAAAAAACAGAGTACATATTAATGAACAGAAAAAAGAGTAATAATCTTACGTATCGGTCGAAGGAAACGGATATAGGGAAAATAAAAAAAGTTATACGTATTCTTATTCTACTATGAATATCGATTTTCTTTGCAGTTTTTATCTAGTTGCGAAGTATTTACGTTCACACGAAACTATAAAGCACTCGAAAAGCTTTTCCTTCGCTATAAAATGACGAGTGCAACGTTCGTGCAGTAAAACAAAATGCCTTCAATGCTTCA